GCAGGGATTCAGACTGAGGCCTGTGTATATTCAAATTTGCTTTTCACCCTGCTGCCCTGCACTGTAGATCGTACAATGTAGAGTAACTCAAGCATCATAAAGACGTCCTAAAACAGTCTTAAATATGAAGCAGTTTCATGTCAGGGACCCTGAAGGCAGTGTGATAGTGAAGCTCTGTGGAGGTCTGTTAAAAAATGATGGAGGCCGGGCGCGGTGGCTCACGCCTGTAATCCCAGCACTTTGGGAGGCCGAGGCGGGTGGATCACGAGGTCAAGAGATTGAGACCATCCTGGTCAACATGGTGAAACCCTGTCTCTACTAAAAATAAAAAAAAAAATTAGCTGGACATGGTGGCGCGTGCCTGTAATCCCAGCTACTCAGGAGGCTGAGGCAGGAGAATTGCCTGAACCCAGGAGGCAGAGGTTGCGGTGAGCCAAGATCGTACCATTGCACTCCAGCCTGGGTAACAAGAGCAAAACTCCATCTCAAAAAAAAAAAAAAAGATAGGTAGTCTATTATATCTTTGGTTATGGTATCTATTATATCTTTGGTTAGGTCTGTTAAAAAATGATAGGTAGTCTATTATATCTTTGGTTGTTGCCCAGGTCTGAATGTGTCCCCCCAGAATTCATTTGTTGGAACATAATCACCAGTGTGATGTAGCTAGGAGGTTGGGCTATTGGGAGGTACTTAGGTCATGAGGATTCTGCCCTCATGAATGGGATTAGTGACTTGGCTAGTTAGTTAATCTATGGACCAGGACCAGGTCTTCATGACACTAAATCTCCCTGTGCCTTGATCCTGGACTTCCAGCCTCTAGAACTGTGAGAAAGAAATTTCTGCTGTTTATCAGATACCCTCACAGATTAAGAAATAGTATGGTGCGTTTGAATAGTTCAACCCCCAATAAGCTTATAACTAGCAGGTCTAGGCTTTGTTTTGTAATGGATCTGTGTCATAATTATGGTAAGACCTCTAGTCAGTCACAGGACCTTATTAATGTCAACATGCCTCATGTTATTTGGGAATGATATATTTCAAAAAAATTGTTGTGTAAGTCATGGAAAATTGGCTATTTATACCAAATATACTTAATTTTTCATTGTTTATTGGTTCTTTTAATAAAATATATTATATACTTCCTTTGAACCTTGTTAGACCTGAAGTAGTTGAATCTTTTTTTGTTTTTGATGACCCAGGGTCATAATTATAAACATTAATTTCTATATTGTATTATAGTAAAAATATACAGAATTACTGCTTCATAGCAATATAACCCCCCAGTTCTGTAGTTTTGTGTTCTCTCTCCTTTACTGCTGTTATGCCCTTGTCTGCTTTTTATAGCTTTCTCAGACCTCTTAATTTTCCTCTTCCAGTATGCCTGTACTTGGGAGATCAGTCATCAAATTTGTTGTGCTTAAAATAAGAACAAGTAGGGTTTGAATAAGGACCTAGCAGCCTCTTCTGTAAGTAAAGTATGGGTGCTTTGGTGTATGGATTTCAACATGTTCTGACAGCTTCTAAACTCCTTCTGTTTAGATCTCACTCGACTGTGTAGCTACTTGATGTCACCAGATAACTCACTTTCTGATAAGCGAAGTATAACTGGGTTGGAGTTTTGCCTGTGTTGACTGCCCGTTCACTGATGCCCTTGATAGGGATTGTCACATATCAGAACAGTGTTTGTTGAACCAATCAAGGTGCCGAGTGTTTTGGACATGAGCATTTATCATGGTTGAGACCTTAACACCTTCACCTCCAATAGGGGCAGTAGAAAAAAATAAGGTGAGATTATTTGATCTCAAATTCTGTTTGAGATGGTACCAGTTCTTATAGTGAATTTGTAAATAAGTGAGTAAATTCCTTAAAACACTTGTTAAACCCAAAGAATTGCTTTATAGCATTGCTTAGTTTGGATGCCTTGGAATGCACCGGTAGAACATTTTATCAATCTCAAGAAATAAGCTGCTGATTTTATTAATTTTATTTTGAAATAAACTGGGTATGATAGGATTTTTCATTAAGTCAGCTAACCTTTAATGAGCATCTATTATGTGCTATCTGGGTATTTAAGACTAGCGACTTACAGATTAATGACAATTACTGCTTCCAGGGAGTTGATCCAGTCAGGAGGATAGAGAAGTAAACCAATAAATATAAATATAATAAATAGTATAAGTTCTATTTACTGTCTTCTGCAGGAATGGAGAAGGTATCGATAGTTCATTCTGCTTGTGTCAGAGAAGGTTTCCCAGAGGAACTAACAGTAGAAGTGGGTTGTAAAGGATGGGTAGGAGAAAGTAAGTGCAGAAAATGAAAGTGTTTCTGGGTGAGGGAGCAGCACTTGTGCAAGTCTTAAATGAGAGAGAGCCTGCCTCTTGGGTGGGAATTCAAGTGGTTTAGTTGGCATAAGTTTAGGAGGAGTGATGGCAGAATGGGGAGATGCCAGGAGCCAGATATTCAAGGAATATACATATTGTCCTAAAAAATTGGGGCTTTATTCTGATGGTGGCAAAAAATCATTAAAATACTATAACAAGTAACGTGGATCAAATTTGTGTTTCAGTGAGATCATTCTGACAGAGGTGTGGAGCATATTTCGGAAGAAGGATGTGAGTTGGGGAGGTTAGTAAGGAAGCTGCTGAAAAGAAATGATGAGAATGTGAATTAAATCTGAGGGTGGGGAAAGGAGAGACGTTTAGCAATTTAGGAGGTAGAGACAGGTCTTGGTGTCTGAATAGTTGTGGTTTGTGAGATAGAAAAATTTTAAATCATGTTTCATTTTGGACATGAATGACAGGTAGATAGTGAGTTGGGTTGTATTGGGGAGGTGGAGAAGGGGAATGTGTTCTATTGGTATCATTGCCTGCTTTAAAAACAAAAATTAAAATGCCGAGATTTAGATCAGTTTTATTCTCCTATTTCCATTCAAGATCATAATACTTGTGATTAGTTTAGTCAGGAACATTTCTCTTTTTATAATATAATATTATATATGTGTATATAAATCCCTGTGGTTAAACTATGCTATTGCTTGGCTAAAGAGCTAAATTCTCCAAATCTTTTCATTTCATTAAGTTGTATTTTAGTTGTGATTTTTTTCAAGAGTTGTAAACATTTCTGTAAAGTTCTCAAGTATAGTTTTGCAAGTAAAGTCCATTTATTAATGTGTTAACGAGGATTGTGTCTTTTAAAGCATTATCTCTATGCTGGCTCTCTATCATAACACGCAGGATTGACAGCTCTGAAAATCGAAGGGTTTCAAAACAGGCATGATTGGCAGCTCTAAGGTAACTAGCACGTGCACTGAATATTATTTGTAGTTTTGTTTGACACTAAGGTGGAATAAACAAGTTAATTTCCCCATCTTTGTTTCTATTTCAAGTTGAATGATATGTAGGGTCAGATAAAGAGTGGAATGTATATTGGCTGTTTCAAAAACTAAAGTTTTCAAGGTGTATTGGTGGGGAAAACAGAAAAGAATTTGAATTAATTGGGTCTTTTTATTGCACAGGACGTGGAACATATTAAAAAAGCATGCATGCTTTGTATAGGTTGATGATTTAAAATCATTCTAGTTTTTCTTTAACAGATCTCTTAAATCCCCAGCTTTTTAATAGGAAACTTCAATGTTTTAATATGATCAAATTGTAAAATATGATCTTAGAGATGTTCTGAGTTCATGAAACTCATGTAATTCAGACTGAATAGCATTAGAGGGTTTTTTTCTTATTTGGATATATGGCATAGCAAAATTCTTTTGGATTGATTTGTTCTATTGGATTGAATTGTTCAGTTGGATTCTATTTTAATTGATGTACAAAATGGATTTGCTTGTTTAGCATATTCACATATGTATAGCTCTATCAGTCCAGAGATTGTCTACATTTATATGTCGAGAAAGTTTGCCTCATATGCCTTCTCAGAACTATAAAGGTCAAAAGTGAATCTGGAAACTACTTTGGTGGCTTCATGTTAAGGAATGCAAGCAATTAAGTGTTCCCACAAACAGCTTTGAAGGTAATATCTTAATAGGACAGAGAGGAGAAAGAATTAGGGCTGCACTCTTACAATTGGTTCAGGCTGGAGTTCTGTTGACCTACGAGTGGATTTTTTTTTTAAAATTAAAAGCTATTTTAAAAGAAGATCTGAGTTCTCTTTTTGTTTGTAGAATTTTGTCTCAATTTAGATTGCTACTTAATTTAGATGTTATCTCTAGATAACATCTAGAGACTCACAGGGACTCAGAATTTCAGCACCTATTTTGTGATTTGTGATTAATTTTAAGAACAATAATAGCTAACATTTGTTGAATGCTCTATGCTAGGTATTTTGTTAAGAGGTTTGCATGCATTATTTTCTTTAACCTTCTTATTACTCTGAGATGCTGTTAGAATTCTCATTTTAAAACACTGAAGAAACTAAGGATTACAGAGATATTTTAAATAATTTAGGGACAGCAGCTACTAAGTATGCAGATGTGAGGTAAAGTAGCTTCTGTATATTGTTAACCACTACTTTATACTCCTTACTCAAATGACACTTTCAGGGTATGTGTATACATGTGTGTGAGATTTGCTAACTTTATCAGTAAATATTTATTGAGTACCTTAATCATAGTGTGCTTAATGCAGTTTTTAAAAATTATATGACATCTTCATCTTTAGGAGGAATAGCACAGTCCAACACAGAGGAATGTATGAATAAATGACTAAATGAATGATGTGGTCAAGCATCTGGCTTCTTCAAAGAAGAAGCCAGAGAAATGAAAGTTGAGATGCTTTCATAAAGAAATGCCTCCCCAAAGAGATGGAACTTTAGTTAGATTCCGAAGGATAAAGGGGAGGGTTGGGATGGATAATGAAAGGAAACCTCTGGGGAAAATGGCATGAGTGCTGACACAGAATTGAGAATGAGTTTTGTGTGACTGTTATCTATGACTGTGTAACAAATTACTTCATAACATAGTGGCTTAAAACAATAAACATATATTAACTCACGTAATTGCTGTGGGGCAGGAATCCAGGAATGTCTTAGCTAGATGATTCTGACCCAAGGTCTCACATGAAGTTCAGTCAAGATATTAGCCAGGCTGTAATCATCTGAAGGCTTGACTGGGGCTGGAGGATTTGTCTCCAAGGTAGCTCACACATGTGTCTGGCAAAGTAGTGCTGGTTATTGGCAGGAGGCCTGAGTTCCTTGGCACATGAACCTCTTCATTGATGAGCTGCATGAATGTCCTCACAACATGGCAGCTTCCCCCATAGTAAGAGAACAGAGAGACAGCAAGGAGGAAGTGGTGATGCCTTTTATGACCTTGTCACACATCGTCACTTCTGCCATATTCTGTTGGTTAAAAGTGAGTCACAAAGCCCAGCCTATAGTCAAGAGAAAGGGAATTGGGCTTTGCCTTTTAGAAGGAGGTATACAGAATTTTTGTATGTATTTTATGTATATATTTTCTGTGTGTGAACAAAGCTTAACTTTTAATTTAAAAAATGTAACTATAAAAACAAAGTATATGACAGCAAGATTTAAGAAAATGGACCATCTTTCTCTCTCTGCTCTGTTTTCAATGTTAAAAATATTTTCATCACTAATATATTATTAGGCACTACTTACACCTAGATTTTCCTTATACTTCTAAGGTAACCTTTATTTTTTCTTTCCTACTGTGATTATCCATACTTATCCATACATTGAGTCAGCTGCTGGCAGCTTTGAGCTACTTCAGTAAACATTTATCAAGTGGCTACTCTTTGCTAGGCCCCATGCTAGCTTTGGCTTTAGAAGTCCATACTGCTTCTCTTTCTGTCTCTATTAATTCAAATCTGGTGATGACAAAAGCTCTTTTTTAAGTTGCTGACACTCAGTTTTCTTAGTTATTTCCACCTCATGCAAGAGAGCCTTGCTAATATCAGACAGATTTTCAAACTATTTTTTATTTTGGTTAATTGAATTACAGTCTATCCAGCCACCTAGTCCAGAGACCTGAGAGTCAGGATAGACTCATTTCTCTTCCTTATAGCCCTCCTCCTGCACCCTCTCAGTCACCAGCTTTCCTCTTAATTATTGCTGAAATCTGCCCTTTCCTCTGTCTCTACCACTAGGGCTTTTCTCCAGCCATGGATATCTTGAACCTTGTACCTGAATTTGCCACAGTGACTTTCTCCTAATCATTGTGTTTGTTTCCATTCTCTTTCCTCCTCTATTCTATTTTTTTTCTTTTTCTGTATCTGCATCTAAAGTGATCACAGTGGTCCACATCCCATGACATGGCAGTTTTAGGGAGTGGTGAAATACTTGCTTTGCCAAATAAGCTAGGATCCTTACAGATAAGACTGAATTTCATGGTGAAAAGTTATGATAGTAATATTTGGGGATTGGCATTTTGGATGCTGACATTAGTAGTGATGTATCAGATGGAGTGGACCAGTTCTGAGACTGTTGTAATACCGGCAGGAGCTGATTAGAGGCTGGACTAGAGTGGAAAAAGATGGAAACAGAAAACTAGAAGAGCCTGTTCAGGGAAAGATTGCTAGAATCCGGTAACTCATGCTTAAGGTTTCTAGCCCAGGTGACTAGAAAAAGAGAGGTCACAGCAGTAGGGAAGTAGGGTAGAGAACTGTTCAGAGGGCAGGAGTTCTGTTTTAGACATGTCATGGTTATTCTATTTTTATTTATTTATTTTTGAAACAAGGTCTCACTCTGTCACCTAGGCTGGAGTGCAGTGGTGCAGTCAGCTCACTGCAACCCCTGCCTCCTGGGCTCAAGTGATTCTGGTGCCTCAGCTTCCCAAGTAGCTGGGACTGCAGGCGCTTGCCACCTCACCCAGCTAATTTTGCTTTTATGTGTTTCTGGAAGAGATGGAGTTTCACCATGTAGCCAAGGCTAGTCTTGAACTCTTGAGCTCAATGATCCACCTACCTTAGCCTCCCAAAGTGCTGGGATTATAGGCATGAGCCACTGTGCCTGGTCATGTTGTGATTTTTCTGTAGGCATTTGGTGACATGGGATTGGAAATTTGAGAAATTAGGCTGTGGAATAACAGTAGGTTTGTAATTATTAATGGCAACTTCATATTAGGCTCTAAGTGCCTTTACCAGCAAAAACAAAACAAAATATAAAGACAACAGCTTCACTGTGGATTTACGTTTGTACCATATTGAGAGTGCCTGCCTTGAAGAAATGTTGCAGTGTCCGTGTTCAGCAGTCCTACTGCAGAAAAAAAGCTAAATTTCAAAGTGAAATGCAAATGTAAAAACAACAGGATCCTTTTAGAAAAATAGTGTAACCTTGCCAGGTATATTATTCTTATTATTCAACTTCGTAACTCTAAAATTCTTTCATTTATTTCTAGTAGATTTCTTTTATATATATATATATATATATATATTGCATTTTAGATTTTGGGGTACATGTGAAGGACATGCAAGATTGTTGCATAGGTACATACATGGCAATGTGGTTTGCTGCCTTCCTCCCATCACCTATATCTGGCATTTTTCCCCATGTTATCCCTCCCCAACGCCCCGCCCCCGGCTTTCCCTCCCCTAGTCCCCCCCACCCACAGACTCCAGTGTGTGATGCTCCCCTCCCTGTGTCCATATGTTCTCATCAGTCAACACCCACCTGTGAGTGAGAACATCCAGTGTTTTATTTTCTGTTCTTGTGTCAGTTTGCTGAGAATGATGGTTTTCAGGTTCATCCATGTCCCTACAAAGGACACGAACTCATTGTTTTTTATGGCTGCATATGTATTCCATGGTGTATATGTGCCGCATTTTCCCTGTCCAGTCTATCATCGATGGGCCTTTGGGTTGGTTCCAAGTCTTTGCTATTGTAAACAGTGCTGCAGTGAACATACATGTGCATGTGTAGTCGATTTCTTATTACTTTACCTACTTCACTCTTAGGCACCTGTTCTTTGCTTCTACCTCCTTAGAAGGTAACCTTATCTTCTTCTTTCTTGAAATCCATTGTGTACGTTAGTTTAAACCATATGGAATTGCAGTTTTTAAGGTCAAAATAGTTGAGTATCTGAAATTTCAACTGATTCAAGCTAATACTCTTGGATTTCCTATTTCTTACCTTAAATTTTTTCTGTATCATGTTTTCTAGATAGTTCGATAAGATGGGAAACATTTTAGCTTGTTTCCCCTTAAAGCTATTCTATTTTTCCCATTCTCAAATATTGCCCTTATTTTCTAAATTATCATTCATTTGTCGATTCAGCCCGCCAGCCTCTACCCTCACTATTACACTAGTTGAAAGCACCCTCTTAAATTATTAGGGACTTCTAGTTACCTGCCCAACAGTTTTTGCTTAACTGCTTTGTATTATTCAATAATATTTGCTATTCCCTTCTCTGAAATTGTCACATACCTTTATTTTCTTGATTCTCCTTCGAGTTCTCTGTTCTTTCTCTATATGCTTCTAAGAAGTGCTTTATGAAATTTTAGAGGGTAAAAATGGTAGGAAGAGGATACAGTAGTTTTTGGCATGCAAGGAAGTTGAGCAAGACAAGTAACTGGAAGAACATAGGAATGGAAGGCAAGAGGTCTAGGTTCTAACCATGCATCTGTCAGTGTGTACAGTAGAAATTCATTTACCCAGGAGTCCGATGAACAGAATTGTTCAAAAAGGCTTGTTTTGGAGCTCCCTGTTTTAAAAACCACAGCATTATAATAACTAAAGAATACTTTTATGTGTCTATAAATGACATTTGTAAGCATTTTTATGTTTCTTTTATTTAATAGGAATCATTTAGGTTCAACATTGTCCTATAGTTGAAAACATGATGCCTTGTTCTTTGCTTGTTTTAATTTTTAATAAAATAATTTTTCCATAAATATATTACAGTTAGGTTTCTTTTTTTTTTTTTTTTTGGAGACGGAGTCTCAATCTGTCACCCAGGCTGGAGTGCATTCTGGCACAGTCTTGACTCACTGCAACCTCTGCCTCCCAGGTTCAAGCCATTCTCTTGCCTCAGCCTCCCAAGTAGCTGGGATTACAGGCATCTGCCACCATGTCTGGCTAATTTTTGTGCTTTTAGTTCAGATGGGGTTTCACCATGTTGGTCTGGCTGGTCTTGAATTTCTGACCTCAAGTGATCCACCTGCTTCAGCCTCTCAAAGTGCTGGGATTACAGGCATGAGCCACCGCACTCAGCCCAGAACCTTAATTTTGGACCTAAAATAGAATACTTTGTGTTCCTTTAAAAATGCAAATTAGGTATCAAATAGGTATAATTAAATCTTTAATTAGAACTGATTGAGCATATTATAATGTTCCTGTGGTTTTATGCTATTGCCTGTCATTTTTGAATTATTAAGCAAACTAGTCCTTCCTTGATGTATTTTCCTTGAAAGCATTTCTTTTATATCCACTTATAAAAATGGTAGTATCAACTCTTTTTATGCTATACCTCTTTCAGTGTGGAAGATTTAATTTGAAGTTATTTGGCTTCCAAAATATATTGCTGTAAATGTACATATTTTGAGACTCAGCATTTTTACTAGAGTTAATCTGACCTCAAAAGTTCTATTTTACTCACATTCTGTTTCAGCTTTTATTTTACATTTTTTTGTTTACTAGAATGATAATATGTCACATTAGTTTGAAAGTTAACAGCTAAACACAAACTGTTTCAATCTCAAAATCTATTTGAGAAACTAAATATCTTTCCTAACTGCAATTGTAAATATTTTGGTTTGCCTGTTTCCTGAACATAATATATTTAAAAACTTTAATCCCCAACTTAGCTTGTTTTTCAAATACTATGTCTTCAGCATGTTTTTTATTGTCAATATTGTTGTTTGTTTGTTTTTTAAGACAGGGTCTCACTGCGTCACTCAGGCCAGAGCAGTGGTGTGATCATAGCTCACCACAACCTCCATCTCCTGGGTTCAAGTGATTTGCCCACCTCAGCCCTGAAAGTAGCTGGGGCTACACGTGCATGCCACCATGCCCAGCTAATTTTTGTATTTTTTGTAGAGACAGTGTTTCACCATGTTGCCCAGAATAGTTTTGAACTCCTGAGCTCAAGCAATCTGCCAGCCTTGGCCTTCCAAAATGCTGGGTTTACAGGTGTGAGCCACTGTGCCTTACCCTGCATGAATTTTGAAAGTTCTTTGTTTCATTTATTTGACTGAATAGAATATCTGAGGTTTGAAGCAAAATGTTCCAAAAGTCAAGTTTAGCATCTGTTGACTTGTGATATGAATGCTGTATATATCATTAATAGTAAGGGTAGTGATTATGATCATGGTGTTGATGACTGGAGCAACAGCAGTGTCTTCCTAATCTTTTGAATTGCTATGAAGTTTTCCCTCCAAAGGAATCTTACGTCACTTTAAGAGAATAAGCATGTGCTGCATATTTTGGAGAAAATAATTTTTAAATGTTAGGCATAGTGCCTTGCAGAGTATAAGT